TCTCTCTCTCTTTTCTGTACCACTTTCGTTGAGAGGCGACAAAAAATGTAGGATCAATGAAGTCCATTGCTACTTTAAAAGCAAAACTTTCAAGTTTGAGAGGAAGAGAGAGAACATTCATTTATCGTATATCGGATTAAATGTGATACCTTTGACGGGCACGGATACACACACAAACGTAAAAATTTACTTTTATATAATGGTGGCGATTGAAAAAGAAAGAAAAAGAATTATTTGAAATAATATGATAAATATGTAATTGAAATGTTGAATAAGAAGATATGTTAACACTGAAAATATATGTTCTTGTTGATTTTGTTTTCACAGTTTTTATAATGCTTATTTCTTATACTAATCAGCGTATTGCGTAATTGTGCTGAAGTATCGATAAATTTACCTGGGGGATGGTATGGGGCGAGGCTTGTCAAGTGCCAGATCCGAGCTGAGGGGTGAATCGGGTCCGCGGCCGCTGGAAGCCCTGAAACATAAACGGAATTATTAGTTAAATTAGTATTCGGAAGCCAATGGTTAATGGATCGGTCGATACAGCTCTTTTATGTCCACCATCAGAGTTCAACGTTCTCTAAAGATTCGTCAATTTATTTATTTCGCGATGGAAGATCGATCTATTAAATCTCGCTATTTCGTGACAAGATTTGATAAACGCGACCTATGATTCATAAATATAAAGAATTGAATGCAACTCCAGAATACTAGTAATCCTCAAGATAGTTAAATATAATGTATAAATTAATCATAACAGATATAAACTATATATAATTTAAGTAAGACGGAAAAGTTTGAAACTACATGTTACATTTAGAATATGCATTCTTATTTCTATAGCACAATTCATAATTGTAAAAACAATTAGTTCATTCATATTTATCGATCAAAAACCTTCACTTTCTCATCTAGAGAGAAACACTATTCATATTCTTTACACACTTTCCATTTCGATTTACAACGTAATCACGCCTGCTCGATTGAAACCGAACGAGCCTCGATTTAACATTCGCGCGTGGCAGCTGATAAACGATTAGAGAGGTCCGTTAGGCACGCGCGCATAAATCTCATACGAACGAGGGAGTTTTCGTTCGAGATGCGCTTTCGCGCGCGAATCCGAGAAATCACGGCTCTCGCAGCGGGGAGTGTCGCACAAGATGAAAAGTTCGAAGACCGGGGAATGTGGCGTTGCGCAAGAGCCGTGATTCTCCATATAATGTACCTCAGTACCTCGCTCACGCGTGCATTGCGACTTCAATATTCATATTTCATCCGCCCATCGACCGGATATCGACGTTGATTCTGGCACCCTCGACGTGAGCTAACAAGTCGGGCGAATAATTCACAACCGCGGAGTTCGATGGAATAATGATTTGACAGGATAAATATATAACGAACGCGCGGTGACTGTGGAATGAAATTAGGTAAGAATAAAATTAGGAGTTTTATGTTCCGCGGAAAATGTATATCGTTATGCGTGAGAACATTGCAATGAAATGATTACGAGATATGAGAGCTCAATAGAGACAAAATTCTCACATTCGTAAGTTTTATTCGAAATCAAGTTGCTATCTGATTCTTTATCTCATTGTACAGTATTTTATATTTCCGGGAACAGGAATACGTTGAGAAAAGATTATCCAACTCATATAAAATAATTATTATTATACGTATAAATCATTAATAATGTTTCACCGCAGATCAATATTGCTAAAGCGGTTTGACATTATTCGGATTTTGTGTTAACACCTTTATACTTTCAGAGCAATTTCAGCTGTGTCGTGTTCTTTGCAGGGATTACTTAAGTAACGATAATTGCCGATTGCGACGATAGATCGCAAAGCGTCGCCGCGCGCAGCCTCGCCGTTTACGCAGATCCGCTCGACATGGTTTTTTTGTTCCTCCCCGGTCGCTCGCTTCCGTTCGCAAATCCTCTCAGACCGCTGCATTTGGAGCTCTTGGCAGCCGCTCAGACGTCGGCGATGAAATATCTAGCACGGGTGACTTTGATTTTCCATGGCGTGCGCTCGAAACGACGAGGATGCGCGGGCGTGAATATATGCGTGCGTTTTCACGCTCGTCCGCGAATGCGTGCACATATTGCTCTGAGAACCAGGAAGTCCTATTGCTCTGTATGCGTGAGAAGACGTTCTCGATACCCGGTGTTGAATGTCGACGAATGTCTAACGTAGTCGTTTCTAATGTCGAGTCAATTTTAATAGGTAAACATTTTAAGTTTAAGTTAAAATAAAGGTATTTTAATAGATAAACATATTTTAAGTTAAAGTTAAAATAAAGGCAAACTCTCATAAATCAGGGATTGTATCGTTCACGTTTGAACGATTGAAAAATCTTTTCCTAATCTTTCACGTATAATTATGCTGCAAATCTCGAGTTTATTGCACAGCAATGACAATTTATTTGAAAGAAGCGTATTTTGTAATCAACCTTAAATGAGACGGAGGAGAGTTAATAAATTCGCTTCAATTGAACACCCGATATACACATCGTTTGTGCAAGACACACATCACGCATACCCGTCGCGCGACAGCTGCATCCGTATGGAAACGCAACAAAATCTCGCTGACCCTCTTCCTCGCATTCTTACGCGGAATGAAGGGTAAGTGAATCACCCTCGCTAAAATTCTAAAATCGCCTGTTTCCGAAAAGTCTATTATGGAACACTTAGAATCACGCGCCTTGGTATTTCTGCGTGCAGTCACTAGACCTGGACCGCGCTTGCCGATGATCGTTGCACCCGGTGCACGCTGGCTAAAAGTCGACGCTCGCCCGTGATTTACCGATTTGTTGATGTTCGACGAAAGCTTCTCTCTAGCCGGTTGAACAAAGAGGATCGTGGAAGTCCGGCAATTCATTTTCCTCTCCATTGCCTCAAGCGAATAAGCGATGGTTTCAATATCTATAAATCGCGTCTCGCTTTTATTTTTAGACTGCTCTTTTAGCACCAAAAATCACATATTATATTAACGGAGCAAACAAAAATTTTTCCTATGATATATAATTTCTTTTACACTAATTTACAAAATTTAATTGCATTTAAAATTCCGCTTGAGAAATATAATTTACGTAGAATCAAGGCACAATGCAGCGGGGCGTGTAATAGTAGCGAGAAAAAAATGTTCTTGTTTTTACACGGAACCTAGTCATCGTAGTGCGTCAATCGTAATGAATTGCGGGGAGAGAATTCCGAGCTTTTCAAATCTCTTCTACAAATGTTGCTCGTTCTTTCTTCCCGCGGTAAAAGCCGCGCGAATGCATCTGAAAAGCAACCTCGCGCGAAACGTGCAGCGGCACTTAGCTACGCCGTTTATCCTCTTTTTCAGCGGCGCCATTCGCTCTCGTGTAACTTCGCTCAATTGCTAGGTCGTTAAGTCGTAACTGAGAAAGGTACTGAGAAAAAAAAAGAGAAGAGATAGCTTTGAAAAACAGTGAGGAATCGGGCAATCTCGGAACTTAACGCATTATTGCGAATTGAAATCCAACACTTCGTCAACGTCGTCGTCGTCGTCATCGTCGTTATTGTTGTGTCGTCGTCGTCGTCGTCGTATATAGTCGCACGAGAGACGCTCTCTTGCTCGAGAAACCTAATTTGTCGACCGGGAGTCGCTTTTACGTGTCGTAAAAATCGCGACGTAACGTCTTGCGACGTCAGGAAACGCGTCGGCCGAGAATGAGTTATTTCGCACTCGCCGTGTCTGTCATTCTGATGTAGCAGGGATAAAAACGACGGAAGGAGCGGGCGCCTTTGAAAGAGAGTTAACAGAAAAATAAAATCACCGCCACAATAAAAATGCTAGTCGCGTAACGACGAGATCGTAGTCGTTGTATTTCGTTGCGAAAGCCGGTTGATGTCACAATTTGAGAGTGGCTATAATTCTAAATGAGCCGCTTACGTTGCTCACTTACAATTAGTTCGTATATTGTGGTGCAAGTTCTAGATTAAATTACAAATTAAAATTTTCTTAGCTAGACTTAATTTAATAAGAAAACGTCAAAGTTTAATTAATTTTTAAATAAAAGATAAGCATCAGAGAGAGAGGGGAAGAGAAGTGAGGCAGAAAAGAAATCTTCGATTAAATATTTCTCAAGTTCGAAATCTCTTCTCGAATTCAAGATAACAGAATATAATTCAACGAATAAAGATAACTTAAACAGTCACCCAAGTGATAATTATTTTCAGTAAACGTAGCAATAAGGGCTATTTTATTGCGACTCGGTTTTAAGGGTGCAAGAGTCAACCGTAAATTTTCGACGATCGAGAGGACTCGGATGACAGGGTAAACGCACAATTTACCGAAGGAATCGTAGCGCTCCTTCTTCCTGTGCGCGCTCCGCATAACGTAATCCGCGATAGGCCTAGGTGCAGCAGTCTGCAGCCGGTAACGGTATACCCGCCATGCGAATATTCCTTGGACGAAGCCGGTATCGGATGTGCACGTGCATTAGCGAGCGTCGGATCCCTTCGTCTTCGCGTTGTAACATTATATTCCTTCTCCGCGCCAGAGAGCACGGCACGTCGACTCGTAATATGTCGCTGCAGTTCGCTCGTCGTGCAGTTCGCTAACGAGAACGTTGGGAAGGACACGTAATTATTTTCAACACATGAGTTATGTTATCGTGTGTGATATCTTTGCGAGAGAACGCGAGAAAATATTTCAATGAGTTTAGATCGAGAATGCAACTATTTATCCGCGTTATCGATGATAGTCTTCTTGTAAAATACATATATTTCCAAGAATAATGTTATCCGATTACTATCTAAATGTAGATTCTATATACCAATTAATCCTCTGTTTATATAAGATTTCGTTCAAGCTGGTCTATATCGCGGCGGGAAAGCTGGTAGTAACACAATAAATATCAAAATTTATTATCTTATATATATATAATCTGGAAATTATATTAAATTTACAATATTACGAAAATAATATTTTACAGAACAGTATCAAAACCGTTCATTAAGGAATTGTCCGTAATTGTTGCAGGCAATTAATACACTATTTCATAAATAATTCGAAAAAATTAATTATCAAATATTAATGAAGAAAATTGCATCGATTCATTACAGAATCGTCCGCGGTATAAGTAACTGTCGCAAATATCGACGCAATTTGCCAACCCGTGTAAAACCTCGGGAATTATTAAATTCTCGTGCTTGGGAATCGGATTTTGTCCTCACTGTCCATTTGTACGCGTTTACTTATGAACGAGCCGTAAGCCGGAATGTCGAATGGCCATCGAATGGTTTTGAACCAGGGTTCGCGCATTCAGGGGTGCGCACTGAAATCCCATAGAATTCCCGCGAGACGCGATCTTAACGGCCTCGAAATATTTCATAGAAGGCTGATTACCCCTCGGCGGCGACGAGATCTCATCCGGCTGGTAGCGAAAAATGAAATAATCGGCTTATACGAGCGCGAAACCTTTGACCCCTGATGCAGGTAGGTACGA